AACAAACAGAAGGGAAACAGTACTTCTGTCTCCTAGCTTCTGTGGGAAGGTAGTAACCTAACTTAAGAGCCTTGCTCCGGGCTGCAAATTACTCCTTGTCTTAAAGATAAATTTGTTTCTCCTCTGGGTAGAGCCAGTTAGCTAACATGAGCGGTTACACTAATTACCAGGTAAATTTAGAGTGAAGCTTGTATGACCAATGGTGCTGGCAAGGCCTCTTACCTGAGGAATGGCTATTGCTTGTCTGGATAACATGCATGTAACAGGTTGCACCTGCTTGGCTGCATAGCAGGAGATTTCCTTCTGTCCTTGCAACCTCTTAGTAGACGGCCGGTAATGCACAGCTCGTTTTGGTTACTGCTTATTCAAAACTGTTCTTTCTCTACTACTTTTGTGGAGAGAATTTCTATGTTGAAGGAAGATTTTGTTAATTACACTTCACCAATACTAGGCACTGTGCTAAATTCTGTGGAGGCAATAGTGTTTAAGATACAGTACCTACAAGTGTTTATTATTGTTTAGTAATAGAATATAAGAAAAGTTACAGGAAGCTCAAGGATTGGACCTCTATATGTGTCTCCTTAAAAACTGGGGGAAGGTGATCCAGAGGCTGCCATATTAAAAAAAAAAAAAAAGCTGCCATTTAAGCTGATGTTTTAAGGGTGGGGGAAGTCTTCCAGGTTGACCAAGATGGAGGTGGCAGCAAATAGGGGGTGGGCTTTGAAGACAAAGGCACAGAGGGTCTAAGCGTAGGACCGAGGCCAGGCAGAGGGAAGTAGAAACGGAAGGCAATGAAGATGGTAGAGCTGGGAGGGGCCACATGCTCCCGGGAGTGTTCAGGAAAGTCAGTTTAGGTTAGTGTGGGACTTGGGAGAAGGACGCAGAGAAAGCCAAGGCTGAAAAGGCAGAAGAGGGACAAAGAGAGGGGTCTCAAATTCCACACTAAGGAACTACAGGAAAAATGATGGAAGACTTTGAAATAGGCACAGTCTGAAGATTACTGGGAGTCCTTGCTAGTATACTGTGTGGGGCTACACAGTACACTCAGTATACTCCCCCTTTTATTGCCTGAGCTAATTTTACAGCACTGCAGATTATAGAAAACAGCAGTGCAAATGACTCTTTCTCATGCAAATACAAATTGTGTCCGGTGGACTTGCGCTGAATAAGTGCCCTGTGGATAAGGACCAATTTTGCCTTTTTCTGTGAATCTGTCTCAGTATGTCTGGAGGCAGCTCACCCATGATGTTGGCGTGGCGGTAAACTGCTCATTCTCATCGCTGCATAGGATTCCACTGTGTGACTATTCCGTCATTTATTATCATTTCTACCACTAATGCACATGTAGGTGGCTTTCAGTTTGTTGCTAGTTTGGACAATGTTGCTGTGAACATTTCTGTGTGTGCATCTCTTACAACATGGATTCATTTTAAAAGTTTAGTGTTGGCCGGTGTGGTAGCTCATACCTGTAATCCCAGCACTTTGGGGGGCCAAGGCAGGTGGATCGCTTGAGGTCAGGAATCCAAGACCAGCCTGGCTGACATGGTGAAACCCTGTCTACACCAAAATACAAAAATTAGCCGGACATGGTGGTGGGCACCTGTAATCCCAGCTACTTGGCAGGCTGAGGCATGAGAATCGCTTGAACCCAAGAGGTGGAGGTTGCAGTGAGCCAAGATCACGCCATTGCACTCTAGCCTGGGTGACAAGAGCAAAACTCTGTCTCAAAAAAAAAAAAAAATTAGTGTTGAGCCAAAACCCAAAAAGTAGACCTACTGTTTCAATCCAAATATGAAGATCAAAAATAGGCAAAGCTAAACTATATAGTTCAGGGATATTTAAATTGCGTCAAACTACATGGAAAAGCAAGGAAGTAATCGCCATGAAAGTCAGGCTTGTGGTTCCTTGTGGGAGAGGAAGAGGCTGTGGTCAGGTAGGAACATGAGAGAGGCTTCTGGGGTTCTCTTTCTCAGCCTGCATGGCAGTAATGTGAGAAATTAAATCTCACACTTTGCTAACCTGGACACTGAAAGGAGTTTATTGCAAAATATGACACACTGGAAGGAGACTTTCCGTTTTCTCCTGAAGCACACTTTAAGGGAAAAGCAAAGGTGGTCTGGAAGATGTTTAAAGACATGTAATTGAGCCTTTCCTCCCTACTCATGACCTAAAGACACGTAATATAGCTTTTCCTCCCTACTTACAATCTAAAAAGCTGCACTTCGGCCAAACAAGATGAGGTGGTTGGAGCATCAGCTGTGGCCGGTGTGCCGTGGGATCCCACCTGCACCGCAGCGAGTGCATTCCCAGCCCCTCAGAGGGCAGGTGGGATCAGGGTTCAGCTAGAAACCCCAGCTTTCCCTTGGCTCTTCTGGGCAAAGTAATGATGCCAGAGAACCCGACCTCTTGGAATTCCTGGGCTGTGCTGCTGGGAATTAGAACAATCCTGGAAAAGGCAGCTAAGATCTGGATTCTGCCATTCTGGTTCCATTCCCTCCCACGACCAGGACCTGCCATGGAGCAGCAGAAGGTCCCCATCTTGTTCAGCTCCTCCGTTACAGGTGCTGGTTCCAAACGTCTCTGGACTCAGGACTCAGGGTCAGAGGCTGGGGCTGGGGAGTAGGAGGAGTTGGATGCCTGGATCCTGGGAAGGAGGTTCTTTGATGCTGGGGTCTCTGGCTAGGGAGGACCATACCTGACATTGCCACTGTGCCATAGCTGCCCAGGGCTGGGTGGGGTTCCTCGTGGGCTGAAGTGGGGTGGAAAGGTGATAGACGGTCATCCTGATTGGGTCAGCTCTACCACGTTCTTTGCTCTCCTGCCCCTACAGCTCTGGATTCTTCACAACCTCATTCAATAGTCGTGTTTTTCAGGTATCCAAACTTTCTGAGCCTCAGTTTCCCCATGATAAACAACATATATTGTTTCTTGAGCACCAAAGATGTGCCAGGCAGTGTGTTTGGGACTTTCTATACCATGCTTTTAATCCTTGCAGAAAGTCGACACATACCCAATGCATGGCTTCAAAGGCTGTTGGACAATCTCCATTTTAAAAGCAAGAAACCGACTTAGCAAGTGCTGTGCACAGTTACCATGTGCAGGACTTTATTCCAAAGTGAAGCTGCCTAGGTCCCCATCTGTGGAGCAGGGTTCAGGGGCAGACTTTGTGGAGACTGGCACGTGGCTGAGGGATAGTAGGTGCTCCCTTCCCGGAGGTGTGGCAACTGCCAGGTCTGTCTGAGCACTAAGAAGAACCACACTGAATTTGGGCTGAGACTATTTCCCGCCCTGTCTTCCTTTGTGAAAATAAAGCCAAGCAAAGAGGAAGACGAAAGAATCCCACCCTAGCCTTCCTGAGCTCATTTCTCATTCCCAGGGGTTTTGAACCCTAACCCACTGCCCCCATTCCCAGCCCGCAGTGGTCCCGGCGCAGGTCCACCCCCACCCCACCTCCTCTTCGGAAACTCAGGTCCCTCCAAAGTGCCCTCTGGACCTGCGATCAACTGTGCCCCGAGCCAGACAAGCTTTCTTGCCTGCTTTCACATGGTTCAATTTTCCTATTTTCGGCTCCATTATTTTCTGCCTCAAGCTTTCTACCTCAAGTGTTTCCAAAATTAATTTTTTTGTGTGCAAATGGGAGGTTGAAAAAATCCTAAGATGTTTTAGCCGTTCTCTGGACTGAGCTATAAACTCACAAAGCAAGGACTGCAGGCTGCGAGTGCCAGAGGTGAGGCGAAGGGAAGAGCACCAAGCCCCAGCCGGTCCTCAGCTGCGCCCGATGGGTCTCCTCCTGTCTTGTACTCACAGCATCTTTCTGAAGACCATGTTTCTTACCCACACAAACCTGAGCCTGAGTGTCCTCACAATGGCTATGACAGCATATATCAAAATTGAATACTGAAATTGTGCCAGCAATTTATTAATTAAAATAGCTTTTATTATAGATCCAATATATGCTCATTATAAAAAACTCTAGATGGCACAAAAAATGGAAGAAAAAGGAAAAACACCCATGAAACTCTCTGCAATGCAATTTCCTAGAATCAATCACAGCAATCTTTTAGCTTTTCTCTATCTAAACTTTATATATGTTTTATATCTATATTAAGTGCATTTATAATTATATTAAAATGCAGATACAATTTTAAAAACTCTTTATTATTAAATTTTTAAATAAAAGCAGCAAGAACCTCCTTGTACCCATCATGGGAGTTCAACGATTAGCAACTCATGGTCAATACTTCCTTGGCTTCCCACTTAATGTCTCTGCGGAATAATTTAATTTCACCCATAAACACCTGTGTGCAACTCTAAAAGATAAGGATGATTTTTAAAAAACAACCTTTAATACAATTTTTCATCTCAAAAAATTGGCAGCTGGGTGCGGTGGCTCACACCTGTAATCCCAGCACTTTGGGAGGCTGAGGCGGGTGGATCACGACATCAGGAGATTGAGACCATCCTGGCTAACACAGTGAAACTGAAACCCCATTTCTACTAAAAATACAAAAATTTAGCCAGGTGTGGTGGTGCGCACCTATAGTCCCAGCTACTCGGGAGGCTGAGGCAGGAGAATCACTTGAACCCAGGAGGTGGATGTTGCAGTGAGCTGAGATTGTGCCACTGCACTCCAGCCTGAGCAACAGAGCGAGACTCCATCTCAAAAAAAAAAAAATAATAACAATAGTTCCTCAACAGCATCCAGATGCAATTTTATATTATGCTCTTTTCAGTCAGTGTAAAATCATGAGCTTTTCTCCATGTCTCCAAAATGTAGTTACAAGTGCTCCTAATCTTACTCCATCAGGTTGAGTGTGTTATAAATAATCCAATCACTCCTTGTCTCCCACTCTTCCATCCCCTTGGATATATTTAGGCTACTACATCCCCAGGATAATGGCTTCCATTGCCTGCACATAAGACAGATGAGCATTACTATCCTGCTGGCTGTGCACTGCTCCACCCCATCCACAGGTACCCAACTAGTCCTGTGCACCTACCTGGCGTGGACTGCCAAGGGAGCCTCTAGATGTGCCAGTCACCCTGTCCTGTGCAGACGCTACCAGACACGAGTATTTCCCTTTCCCTCCCTCTAAGGGTATTTTGTTTGCAAAGTTAGCCAATAGTATCTGGTTTCCTGTGAGGGAGACTATCTTTAGATGCCACCACAGCCAAGCTCACACACTCCAGGGTGGAGGCCAGCTGTCAGTGGGAGGGCCTGACTTTACAAACCTGGAAGACTTGGACCTCAGGGAAGACTGCGGAGCTGGAGGGAGAGAGGTATCACTTACCCTAACCTGGAGGTGGGGGAGGGAGCAGACCCTGCAGTCAGCACAGCACAGTGGGCTCTCATCAGTGGGGAGCCTTCAGGAGCTGGGAGAGCTTGTGGGGCCCTCAGCTTCCCTGTCCATAAGAGGGAGCCCACAGTACTCACTAAACTACATTGGGGCACACACAGCTCTTCTTCTCAAAGTGTGGCCCCAGGCACTGGGAGCTTATTAAAGACAGCACCTCAAGCCCTGCCCTGTGTGTACTGAATTAGAGTCTGCATTTTAGAGAAATTCTTAGAAGACTGATATGCACCCTGAGTTTGAGACACTGTGGTATGAAAGCATCTAGCGAGTATCTTGACCTGGTAGACTCAATAAATATTTTTCCCTCACCTCTCTGCCCCAAGGCACTTAGTGGCTCCCTGTACCCATCAGTCAAGCCTGGATCACTTGCCTGAGGACACAGCTTTCACCCAGGACCTGCCCCAGGCTCCTTCCACAGTCTCTCCCCCGCCCCTCTGCCCTGCAGTGGGGAGCCTGGTGGGCTCCAGTGTCCAGCTGTGCTCCTGCACCCTGGCCTGGCCAGCTTGGCCCTTTGCCTGCAACGTGAATCTCAACCACCACTGCCTCCCCACCTTCCCATCACTTCTTACTTGCCTGGCCCCTCCCAGCGGCATGGCAAGGCGCTTGCTATACAGTTCTGATCCTGGCCCGCTGTAGGCCTCCAATACACCTTCATTTGATGGCCCATGACTCCTTCGCGTCCGCTCTGGCCCATTGCTGCCCACATCCCAGCCCATGCCCGGTGCTCTCTTGGCTCTAGTTGCTGTGGTCTCCTGAGGACAGGGGGTGCTTTGTGTACTCCCCACCTTGCCCCTCCTCACCTCCCCCAACCCCAGGAAAGAGCTGGGGGCTGCAGTGCAGTGCCGAGGGCAAGGCGGGCTGCTCACTGCGGAGGAAGTCCGCCGTCCGTTTCCCTTCTTTGTTCCTGGCCTCAGTGTTTGGCCACCTTTCCCTGCCTTTGGCCAGAAGGCTGCAGGACAAAAAGCTGCTCTCCACCCACTCTCTGGCACTGGCCCCTCCCCACCCCACCCCACCCTGTGGCACATCTCCTGAGGTCCACTCAGCAGGGCTGGCTGCCCTAGCCCCTTCCTTGCCTCTGACTCCCCTCCTCTTCTGAGGGCTCCTTTCTGGGATCCGGCTGAGACTCTCCCTCTCTTCCCGTTCCACACTCTTGAGGACAGTCTCATCCACCCATGTCAGTAATTCCCTCTGTGCACATGAGGTCACAGCTCTACCTCCATCGGGCCTGGATAACTGCCCAAGCCCACCCAACCTTCTTCATTTTCTGCCTTTCCACTCACCATTTACCCCACTGGCCGTTCTCCACCCAGAAGCCAGAGTTCTTCCTGAAACCCGTCTGCCAACTGAAGAGCCTGCAGGGGGGCCGCCCCCTCTCACTTCCTACTGTGCTCTCACCGCTTCCACCTCCCCGGCACGCCTGTGGTGGGCTCTCGTCCCTTCCCAAGTCACCTGGCTATCCTGTCCTGGATGTGATTTTACCCTCTTTTAAAGCTAACAAATAAGCCTTTATGCTCCACAGCTGCCGGCAGCAGGCAGGACTTCCTGCGGGGCAGGCATGAGCACCAGCGTCCAGCGTCATTGCCCTGTCCCCCAAGCCCCAGAGTGATGCCATGGCTCAGACAGATGCCTGTGCGTGTGTGAGGGGTGGGGGGGTTGGAGGAGGGGAACGCCGAGTTGGGGAATGGGCCATTTTATAGCAAGCAGTAAGCATGTGTGTCATTTGGCCCTGAGTGACATGTCAGCTGAGCCCTCAAGGTTGGTCACTGCAAGCTCAACCCTGAGAAATGGACCAAGTGAAGAGCATTAGTGCCTTGCATTCTTGACATACTCACAGAGATGGAAAGAGCCTCAGCAGCCTCTCCCCACTCCACGCCGCCTTGGGCCTCTGTAAAGCAGTCTCTGGCTCTGTGCTGGGAACCTGCTCCTCCCTGAGCTCTTGTTCACTCCTCCCAGTACCCTCACCCTGTGCAGCCTCATTCCTGAGGCCCCCATCTTCATCTCTCTTTTTGCCCAGCCCCTTTGGCTTAACTCTCTGTTGGAGCTGACCCTTGCTCACAAGTTCTAGGCCATTCTCCATTTCTCTTCCAGTTGAGACAGTACATGCAGAGGACAGTCTGGTTTCTGCCGAACCGAGAAATGAGAGTGTGGTGGGCTAGCTCAGAGGAAGGAGGCCAGGCACAGAGGCTGTGAAGATGGTGGGACACCTGGGACAGTGAGGGGCTCGCACAATGCAGGTGAAGACCGGAGACTCGGTGTGAATAAAGCTTTGTGGGAGTGTGGGGTAGAGATGCTGCCAAGGGAAGTAAGAGCTTGATCCATCTTGATTGCCAAGCCAAGGTGCTCCCACGCTCTTCTGTGGGCTCTGGAGAGCTTTGAGACTATGAGAAACTGTGCAGCAATGGGTCTGCCTGAGGCACTGTTTTAAGTCCTCTATGTACATGAACTCATATAGTGTCCCCAGTGACCACATGAGGCAGGTGCTAATTTTTTTTTATCAGACATGTCTGGCTCTGTTGCCCAGGCTGGAGTGCAGCCACATGATCATAGCTCACTGCAGCCTTCACCTCCCAGGCTTGAATGACCCTCTCACTGCAGCCTCCCAAGTAGCTGGAACTACAAGCTACCACACCCAGCTAAGTTTTGTAGTTTTTGTAGAGACAGAGTTTCACCATGTTGCCCAGGCTAGTCTTGAACTCCTGAACTTCAGCGATCCTTCTGCCGCAGTCTCCCAAAGTGCTGGGATTACAGGTGTGAGCCACTGCGCCTGGCCTCAGGTACTGTTATTACCCTCATCTTAGGTGTGAGGAGTCTGAGACAAGGAGGAGAAGTCACGTAACTTGCACAAGACCACACAGCTCATGTGTGGCAGGGCCAAGATTTGCACTCAGCATTGAGGTTTTATGGTGTATGCTGTGCATTCTCAGTGGAGGTGGTGCTACTTCCAAGGCGGTGAAAATTGGTTCTGAGGGTTCTTGTGCTTTATGTATAAAACACAGATATACCTGAGACAGGAGAATTGCCTGAATCCAGGAGGCGGAGGTTGTGGTGAGCCGAGATCGTGCCATTGCACTCCAGCCTGGGTAGCAGGAGCGAAACTCCGTCTCAAAAAAACACCACAGATATGCATACAGTAGCTAAAGCAATAGCATATCTATGTAATAAAAGTCCATGGTAGAGGAAGGTGATGAAGAATGTAATGTGTGCCAGGCATGGTGGTTCACACCTGTAATCCCAGCACTTCGGGAGACTGAGGCAAGTGGATCACAAGATCAAAAGTTTGAGACCAGCCTGGCCAACATGGTGAAACCCCGTCTCTACTAAAACAAAACAAAACAAAACAAAAAAAAACTACAAAAATTAGTCAGGCATGGTGGCGTGCAGCTGTAATCCCAGCTATTCAGGAGGCTGAGGCAGGAGAATTGCTTGAATCCAGGAAGCGAAGATTGCAGTGAGCCAAGATCGCACCACTGCACGCCAGCCTGGGCGAAAGAGCAAGCGTCTGTTCTCCCCTGCAAAAGAAGAATGTAATGTAATTAATGGGCACAAAAAGTAGTTAGAATAAATAAGACCTAGCATTTGCAAGCACAACAGGGTGACTATAGTTAAAAAAGTTAATTCACATTTAAAAACTAAAAGAGTATAATTGGATTGCTTATAACACAAAAGACAAATGCTTGAGGTGATGCATACCCCATTTCCCCCGACGTGATTATTACACGTTGCACACCTGGATCAAAGCATTTCATTTAACCAACAAATATATACCTGCTCTCTAACCCCTCGCCACACACAAAAGAATATAATATCTAAAAGGACTTGCTGAGGAGTGATAATGAAAAAAGAAAGTTGAGAGACCCTTTTCTAAGGTTTTTTTTTTTTTTTGAGACAGGGTTTCACTCCCATCACCCAAACAGAAGTGTAGAGGTGCGATCCAGGCTCACTGCAACCTCCGCCTCACAGGTTCAAGAGATTCTCCCGCCTCAGCCTCCCAAGTAGCTGGGATTACAAACACCTGCCACCACGCCCAGCTAAATTTTGTATGTGTAGTGGAGATCTGCGCCAGGCCCTGCGCCAGTCACGTTGCCCATGATATCTCTTTTTGACTTTTACCTTCAAGTTAGGTATTATTTTTTCAGATGATGAAATGAGGAGAAAAGAGCAATGAGTCCTAGGCCACATAAATGAAAAAGGGTCAAGTCAGTATTTGAACTTCCTGCCCAAACGCAGGTAGGGAACAGCGAGAGGGCAGCCGAAGCAGTGGGTAGTGGAAGATAGAGAAGGGATCTTGCTAAAGGAAAATGCATAGAATTGTAAAGAACCAGACATGCTGAGGGTCAACGGAGCATCCAAAGGCTGTGTTGCCATTGACAAGTCAAAAGCCACATGCTAGGAGATTTCAGAAACAGAAAAAAGTCTCTCTTTCCTCTTCTCCCCTAAGAGGACAAAAGATCTCCTTCTAAGAGGAGAAAAGATCAGACTTAGAAAATTGGAGGCCAATAGACAATTGGAGGTGGCTCATGCCTGTAATCCCAGCACCTTGGGATGACAAGGTGGGAAGATCACTTGAGTCTAGGAGTTATAGACCAGCCTGGGCAACATAGGGAGACCTCATCACCACAGAAAATTAAAAAAAAAAAAAAAGCTGGGCGTGGTTGCACTGACCTGTAGTCCCAGCTATGGGAGGCTGAGATGGGAGGGTCTTGAGCGCAGGATTCAAGGGTGCAGTGAGCAGTGATCCTGCCACTGTATTCCAGCCCGAACGAAAGAATGACTCCAACTCTTAAAAGTAAAGAAAAGAAAAATGGAAGGCTGGAGAGGAGTAAGTCTAGACAAAGTCAGTGCCGTTTACTACCTCCTTCTGTCCTAATGTTTACATTTAACATTATCCCTACAATTTCTCAGGTTTGTTTCATAGCTTCTGCTCAGCAGCGATTAAAGCACTTCCCCTTTGGAACCATAGCAAACAGGATCTGGCAAGGAACTCCTGGAGTACTTATAATGGCATCATTCAACTTTTGCTTTGCAATACTTAAAAAAAATCTGTCTGCAAACAGTATATGTCATTTTTTAAATTTAAAAACAAAAAAATCTGCTCTCTCACCAAATAACGGCATGTGTTTCCACTGAAGTGGAACTTACTAATGGAAGAATAATGGAAGACAAATAAATGAACTAACAATTTTGAATTTTAAAATATGCCCGTTTTAGCCCTTTGAAACACACAGGTAATTCACATTAATTGCTAACATGTCTTTATATTGTTTGCTGATGTTCTGGAGGATCTACTTTAAAAAATAGAGAAAATAGGCCGGGAATGGTGGCTCATGCCTGTAATCCCAGCACTTTGGGAGGCCGAGGCTGGTGGATTGCCTGAGCTCAGGAGTTCAAGACCAGCCTGGGGAACATGATGAAACCCCGTCTCTACTAACAATACCAAAAATTAGCTAGGTGTGGTGGTGTGCGCCTGTAATCCCAGCTACTAGGGAAGCTGAGACAGGAGAATTGCTTGAACCCAGGAGGAGGAGGTTGCAGTGAGCCAAGATCACACCATTGCATTCCGGCCTGGGCTACAGAGTGAGACTCTGTCTCAAAAAAATTAAATAAATTTCTAAAACGGAGGAAAATAATAGTTGTGTCTCACAAACGTCTTTAAAACAGCCTTTCCTGTCCTCACTGTACAGATATATAATGTTCAATACCTAGGAAAATAAAATATCAGAACTCGTGGGCCTATATCATTGGCCAGATACCGAAAAATAAGCTGGTTTTCAGCTGGCCAGGGTATACGTGCACCTACGAGATAACCTTACACGTGGCATCGTGTGATTATAGAAGTGACAGGTAGATTTCCTAAGCTATTGTTTTCAGGATTTTACTTATTTTGAAGCAGGAACAGAGGAAACAAACCTCTCGAACACCGAACTGAGGAAGGAAGTGGCTTTTTACTCAGCCAAGAGCTGAGGGGGGCTACAGGCTCATTCACCAAGCTCCCCGAGCTGCAGCTTCTCTCCCCTTTTATAGGCTTACATGCTAAGGGGAAACTGAGGAAGAACTATGTCATTGTCCATTTGCTGGATGTCCAACCTTACAATCTTTTGGCTTCATTGTTTTGCCAATTCATATGCTGCAGGAGCAGGGACCAGCAGGGGAGGGGGCTTACAGAGACAAGACAGAAGCAACAAGCTGGAGGGAGCCTGGTCCGTGGAGGCGTGAGGGCGTGACCCAGTACAGCGCTCCTGCCCGCACAGACAGCATTAATTTACGGTTCTTTCAAGGTTACCAGATAGCAGAGATGCTGGGAACTAAAGAGGGAGTCATTTTCCCAGCTTTTTGGTATATTATTTCATTTTTTTTCCTTCTTCACCCTCCTTCCTATCTGGAAGCGGGGAGGGAGGAGGTGAAATTGAAGGAGGCGAGGGGGTCTCCCTTCTCGATTTCAAAGGGTAATTCCAACAACAAAAGCCAAGGGACTTAATAGTGTTGTACAGAGTGAGGAACGTGTCCAGAGGCAGCCTGGCACTCGCTGACACAAATGCAGCAGGTTCACTGACACAAAGAGACGAACAACAGGTGATCTTATGGGAATTTGGGGGCTGCAATGGATGCTCTTTCATGTAAGACTATAATTGGACCACAGATGAAGTTGGCGGGTGGGATTGTGGGTCCAGCGTAAACCAAATTAGCTCCTGATAAACTCCCTCAGTTAGACAAACTTGAACCAAGAATTTTAGACACCTCAGCCATGCTTTTTCATCCCTTGGAGGATTAAGTAATCCTTCACCTGAACTGAAACTTGTTTCAAAAGTACAAGATGCAAAGACAGCAAAGGCTGTGAAACACCTGACCATCTAGTTTCTTAGCATTCAGAATATCTGAAATAGGCAGGTACTTGGCCGCTGTTGTCAATGAAACTTGAACAGTATGAAATTGTAGCTGTGGCTACAAGTGAATGCAGGTGATGCCAGACTGGAGAGTCTCGCACAGCAGCCGACCTGTGGATATAGCAAGAAGCCTTCCCGTGGGTACTTTTAGAGATCTCTATTCTTTTACAACAAAAAAAATTGCTGTGCTAAGTAAAACAATTCAGAGGCAGCTTCTAATCTACTTGACTCTACAACAAAATATCAATATTTATTTCTGCTTGGTCTAGCTGCCAAAAGACTCTACGTAAATCACAATCGTATTTTCATCTGTGTTTGAAGGTAATGAAGACCTGCATCTGGATGTGGCTGTACAAGGTATTTATTTGGCTGTTTACTGTGGTGCAGCTGTAGTTGGTAGAGCAAGCGACAGGCCTCAAGTGACCGTTTGGCCGGAGGGAGTGCTTGGTGTCCACTCATTTCACTCAGTCGGTAACACTTGGTGATGGAACCTGCGGAAAAGCTTCAGTTTAGAAAGAGCACATGTAGATGCTGTGCTCAGTCCGAAGTTTGACACTCTACTCAGGAAAGAGACTTCAGATTATTTTAGTGCCTTCAGCGCATTTATTTTTGACAAAGTTGGAACATCCTTGAAGCTAAATTGAGCACAACGAGGTATATCTTTTAATAATTTGAATGGGTTTAATGGGAGGTTCACTTATTCTCCTTTCAAAAGTGTTTTAGATCAATGATCAAGATTCTGTAAATACAGTGTAAGTTAATTCTACCCGCACACAGAAGAGGCTGAGAGGGATGCTTCCTTGAAGCCAGTACCTAGTCTATAGCTTAAGTGTATGTCTGGATCCCAGGAAGAAGCTAACGTTTGTTGAAATCACACATTCCCATCATGGCTGCAATTCCAGGGCTGTGGCATTTCACCAAAGGAAGCAAGTTAGGGTGTGAATTGAGCAACAGTTGTCATATTCAAAAGCTCACGTATGTGTGTGTGTGACAGAGAGATGATTTAATGGTTTGTCTTCTTTTTAAGTAAGTGAAATCCATCTGTGATTCACATGTGAAAATGTGTCTGTCATTCTCTGGGAACCTAGCTTGGGTTGGATTATTTTGAAACCTCAATATGTTGAGGCGGAAGTCCTAAAAGACTCATTGCAGGCTAAAACCAAAGCGCCCCTTTATTCCGCAGTGAGCCATCCCTTGCCGCATTAGCTGTTGAATACTCACTGGTCATTGCTACTATTGTGTGTCACTCTTGTACACAAGCCATGCATCGCCCGACTGTTGCTCACTCACGTGCCAGGTATTAGAAAGCACATGTTGCCCCTCTGCCTCCTGCTCAGGGCCGGTTGTTGAGGATACAAAGATGAATAGGGCAGGGTCTCTGCCCTTTCCCTTGGTGGTCTTCATTTGGCTTCCACTCTTCAAGGTAGCTCAGGAAACTTAAGGTAACCTACAGTCATCAGAAAGACACAGGAGTGAGCTGCCTTGCCTCTGTCCCCTGAGTCCTGTTGCCCCCTGCTGGTGTCTTTGGTTCTTTCCAGAAACAGCTGGTAGAGCAGCCAATCAGCAGACATGGCCCCAGTTGGTGGGCAGCCCTTTGGCCTCAGAGCACCCCTCTGATTCACTGGTTTTGCTGACACAGACATCTGCGGTCATTTCTCCGCAGGGAGTGGTGTGTGCAGGCAAGTCTGCAAACCTCTGGGTTACAGTTTTGTGATGAGCCAGCCGGCCCACAATGACCTGCAGTCCCCCTCCCCTGGTTCAAATCCTGACCCTGCTACTCTCAAGCTGTGTGGCTTAGGGCATTATTTCTCTAAGCCTGTGTGTGATGACATGTGTAAAGTACTGCATGGAGCTCCAAGTAAGGTACTGAGGGTAATAGAAATCTGTGTTCCGGGGATACGCAGAAGGAACAGTCCCTTCCAATGAGTCTTGGTGGATGCATTCACCTGGGCCGGACGTGCCAGGAGAGGGATCAAGTTGTACAAAGGGTCAAGAGGGTAAAGGAGCCTCCCTCATTAGGGGGGGTCTCTCAGAGAAGCCCCCTTCTAGGATCTCTGGGGCTTTGCTGAAGCGCAGCTGTCCGCCCCCAGAACTCATTGCACTGTCTCTGGTCGTGGTTCTCTCTTACTCCACGTGCTTGGCAAGAATTTCTGAGTGACAGCTCCCTTTTCTACTTGAACCTGGTGGGCAATCTTGTCCCTCTCCTCTCCTGAATGGCCTTTTTACTATCCTTAGAAAAAAAATCAAAATCCAAGTGTATGGACTGAATTGTGTCTCCCCCAACTCCCATTCATATTTTGAAGCCTTAACCCACAATATGACTATATTTGGAGATGGGGCCTCTAAGGAGGTCATTAAGGTTACATGAGGTTGGAAGAGTGGGACCCTAATTCAATAGGACCAGTGTCCTTATCAGAAGAGAGACAGCAGGGATGTGTGTGCATCAGGAAAGGACGCCATGAGAGGCGGCATCTACAAGCCAAGTGCGAGGCCTCAGGAGAAATCAAGCCAGCTGACACCTTCACCCTAGACTTCCAGCTTCCAGCCTGTGAGAAACACAGTTCTATTTTTTAAGCCAGCCAGTCTGTGGTATTTTGCTATGGAAGCCCAAGCGGACTGACCCCCAACTTTCATGTCAATTAATGAGGGTGAAATTCCTTCTCATAGTGTGTGGGCTGAAACCATGAGGAACGTCTAGGGTTTAAAAGTTAGGTCTGTTTGGCTTACTGTGGCGAGGGAAGACACGCACCAGAGGAGCCAGGGAGGGGTCCTTCAGGGGGAGTGGGGCTTGTGCTGGACACGGTCTAAGGGAGGACTCAGGAAGCCGAGGCAGTGCTGGATCAGGTGCTGTCAAAAAGTAGGGGCAGTTCAGTGACTGGGAGTCTTAGTGGATTTACCTGGGAGGACTGAAGTGGGCGAGAGTCATCACTGCGAAAGCAGCAGCAGTCCCTCGTGCTGATCAGAGGCGAGGATGTTTAGTTGTGTGGTTGTGGAGGGGTCTTGTTTGAGCCTTTTCCAAATATGGTCTCGGCGTGTGGGAACATCCCACTCTGGCAGCTGACAGGCAAGTTTTCACCTTCTTCTTTGATATTAGGGAGTCCCGTGTGGTACAACCTGCCACATGTGAATGTAAAAGGAAAATAAAATCTTGGGACCTTAATTCACTGTGACAAAGGGAGAGATTAAGCTGGAAGCTGAGTCACACAAGAAACTGCCTTCCTTTTGTTCCTAAGCAGACAGCCACAGATAAACGGTCAGATAGAAGGCCAGGTGTCTCCACAGGTAGCTGCCCTATGCTCACTTTATCTTACGTAAACATTTACTGAGCACTGGATAAACACATGATCGACTTTTTTTTTTTTGCTCTTATCGCCCAGGCTGGAGGGCAGTGGTGTGATCTTGGCTCACTGCAGCCTCTACCTCCTGGGTTCAAGCGATTCCCCTGCCTCAGCCTCCCAAGCAACTGGGATTATAGGCGCCCACCACCATGTCCAGTTAATTTTTGTATTTTCAGTAGAGATGAGGTTTCACTATGTTGGCCAGGCTGGTCTCGAGCTCCTGACCTCAAGTGATCCACCCACTATGGCCTCCCAAAGTGCTAGAATTACAGGTTTGACCCACTGCGCCCGGCCCATAATTGACTACTTTGAAACTCCCCTTTTTCACTTGCAACATGTGGATTCAGTCGTGTGACCTTACGCTCGCTCTTTCCCCACCCCCCGCCGCCCACTTGTCCTCTTCAAATATTGAAGCCCTCAAAATCCTCTTTGGAAAAAAGCACCGATCACAGGTTGTTCTTGGGATTTTGTGTTCCTTTTGCGGGGGGTACATCCTTAACCTGGGCAAAATAATTCTCTAAATTGATTTACAGGGACAATGAAAAGAACAGTTAGGAAACACATGTACAGCTCACGCCATGGTTTACAAAGCACTCCCACAGGCATCGGAAGGGATTATTTTCAACTCCTCCTTTCAGGTGAGGAAACTGAGGCCCAGGGAAGTTAGAGAAGTAACTCCAAGTCACTCAGCTGGTCGGTTGGTGGGAGGACCACCCCAGGTCACAAATCTACCTACATGCAGTGTTTGGAAACCAAGGCTGTTTCTCTAAGGGTCATTGAATCTCGAGCAGAGGCCTTCAGGTTCTGCAGAGGTCCTTTCCAAAGGGTCTTCTCCTGGGCTTAGGACAGCAGCAGGGGTGTGGAAGGGAGGCTGAATGACCGGGCCAATGAAATGGTTCCAGTGAATGGAAAGCTTGGGGTGCTCCCTTGTGGTAATCACATGAACTGCTGCTCCAGGTTTGGACTGAGACAGGTGCGGGCAGCAAGGTCCCATCCAAGGTAACAAGAGCAAGCGCCAGGGATTCAACACCCACCTGGGGTCAGGCCCCGTGCATGCGATGGTCAGGGACTCCTTTGACTCTCAGCCCGCCGACCTGAGAGCTGAGTATTCTCAGCCTGTGTGAGAGATGAGGAAACGGAGAAGAAGGCAGACTTTATCCATGAAAAGAGTGCTGGAGCTAGGCTGATAGACCCTGTCCAGTGGCAGAGCCGCTGCTGTCAGGCAGAAGCCCCTTCCCATTTCTAAGTTCCTCGTGACTTGCTAAAGTCAGACCTTCAACTAGACTGTAGCACTGAGGAGCTGCTTCTGACTTTATAAAGGGTCTCCCGGTTTTTGTTTTGTTGTTTGAGACAGAGTCCCGCTCTGTCACCCGGGCTGGAGTGCAGTGGTGTGGTCTCGGCTCACTGCAACCTCTGCCTCCCGGGTTCAAGCGATTCTCCTGCCTCAGCCTCCCTAGTAGCTGGGATTACAGGCACGTGCCCGCCTAATTTTTTTGTATTTCTAGTAGAGACAGGGTTTCACTACGTTGGTCAGGCTGGTCTTGAACTCTTGACCTCAGATGATCCACCCGCCTTGGCCTCCCAAAGTGCTGGGATTACAGGCGTGAGCCACCGCGCCCGGCCATGGGCCTCCTGGTTTTACAAGGTTGTTTTCATACTCGTCATCTCTTATAAGCCACACAGAATCCTGTAAAGCAGGTTTTTTAAGGGCTGATTGTCTCCACTTGAAAACCAGGACAACGGAGGCACAGAGATAACAACAGGTAAAACACAGTAATAGACACTGTTTATGAAATGTTTGCCATGTGCCAGTGCTTTCCGCTTGTTTTCCTGTTGAATCCTCCAACAATGTCAGTGCTGTCCTCACTTTACAGATGAGGATAAGGAGGCTCAGAAAAGTTGAGTGTCTTTCCCAAATTACCCAGCTCAGGACCTGGAGCCTCAGTCCGACTCTGGAACCTGAACTCTTGCTTACCACACTGTGTGGACAAGTGTGACTCATTCTAGGCACCAGTCTGGTAAAGGATGGGCACAAACTGGCATCTGTCTGACACTGCAGACAGTGTGCTTCCCACCACATCACACAGGTTCAGGTGTCCTCTTTCACTATCTGGAGGGAATGCTATAGTTAGAAACCTAACAAAACAAAAGACCAGTTACAGTCAGTTCTTTGAGGGAAAAATGTTGGAGAGACTAATGGGGGAGACTCGGGGCACCGGGAGGGGCATGCTCTTGCGGTACGACGAGCGAGAACTGAGGTCCGGGTCAAGCTCTGGGCCAAGCCTATGACATAACCTGGCTGCAATTCACATAAAGCTGCTGTGCGTGCCAGCTGCTTCCTTGAATGTTGTTGTGAAGCACCTCTGGCAGGTGCCTGAAGCCTGCGCCGGTGAACCAATCCTTCCTGGAAGTAGTGGCTGCAATATTATGATAGTCACCGGCTACATGTGGCTATTGAGCCCTTGAGATATGGCTAGTCTCAGTCGAAATGTGATAAAAATGTAAAATATTTGCCAGATTCTTAACGACTCAGTATTTTAAAAGAAATGTAAAATATCCCATTAAGTTTTATGTTAATGATGTGATACTATATAATATGCCTTCCATTTAATAAAATACCTTATTAATATTAACTTTACCCATTTCCCTTTACTTTTTAAATTTTATTTATTTATTTATTTTTGAGACAGAGTCTCGCTGTGTTGCCCAGATTGGAGTGCAGTGGCGAGATCTCGGCTCACTGCAACCTCTGCCTCCTGGGTTCAAGTGATTCTCTTGCCTCAGTCCCCCGGGTAGCTGGGATTACAGGCACCCACCACCATGCCCAGCTAATTTTTGTATTTTTAGTAGAAATGGGGTTTCACCATGTTAGGCTGGTCTCGAACTCCTGACCTTGTGATCTACCTGCCTTTGGTCTCCCAAAGTGCTGGGATTACAGGCATGAGCCACCACGCCTGGCCTCCCTTTACTTTTTAAATCACTACTAGGAAATTTTAAATTACCTACACGGGCCAGGCATGTGTAGCCACTATGAACTCATTTCAGTTCTCAAACTCCCGAAGCTTCCTCCAGCCTTGGCCCCTTCCCCTCCATCCTCACTACTTAGGTAGCTCCTTAGGTGGCAAGTCTGTTCTGCAGAGACCTCCTGTGACCCTCTAAGCTATATTAGGTCCCCCACTCTGTCAGCCTCTCAGTCTATTTCTTCTTTGTGAAACTGACCATACTTCATCACCACCCTTTTGTGTGTGGCTGTGTGTTCAATGTTTGTCTTCTCTGCTAAACCGGAGCCTCATGAGGGTAGGAATGGTGTCTATGTAGCTGGGACCTGGTGTCCACACAGTCATTCTCACAAGGATTTGTCCATGACTCCTTGCAGAATTAGGAGAGAAGTTGCCACTGGCTAGCATCCAATCTGAGCCAGGCACTCTGCATGCCTTATCAGTCCCCAAGGCGACCTTCAGGACGCCACTGCCGCACTTCTGCTATGGAGCAGCCCAGTGGCTTGTGAAGGGAAGCCACGTGCCCAGAGTCTCCTTGTGGGGAAGTGCCCAGGCGGGACTGGAAGCCAGGCCTGGCTGCTTCCCACCCTGTGTGCCTCCCTCCTTGCCAAGGGTGCCCCCGTTTTTAGGTCCCATCTCAGAGAGGCGGCGCTCATCCTGGACAGCCTTGGCTCTGCTCTGTTCTTAGGGAAATCCCAGGTCAGAAGACATGGGCCAGGTGGGTGACGGGTGGAGACGCTGAGTGCATGGGCGGGGAGCACTGAACCCCAAGTTTGGGGTTGGTTCCAGCCAGACAGGAGCAAAGGAGCTGGCAGCAGGTCCGTGCGGCCTTGCTCCTCCCAGGTGCAGCCCGAGGGGACCCACAGCGTGCTGAGGCACTTGCTCTCACCTTCCACTTCCTCAGGGGAATGAGTCCATGAGAAGAGTATGGGATGCTCGGATGACCGGGCCGGCACTAAACAACCTTGGCAGGCTGGAATGTGAGCAACAATGGAAAAAGTCAAGCTCCTTGACGGCAGAAGAGCAAGGACCTGGCTTGAAAGGGTTTCTTCAAGCGGAGACTGAAAGGGATGTTCTGAGGACCTGTTGACAAGGAGAGCCAACCACTTCCTGAGGGCCATCTTCCTCTCAGTGGGAGCCTACACAGGCCCATTTGGAATCCACACACATCTTAGAACCCACTGAGCAGGCCCTGCAGCCCTGCTTTCCTAGTCCCCTCCCTGGCACAGAAACACTTGAGGAGACAGTAATGTGGACTCCAGTTGGCCAAGACAGCAAAAGTTATAAAAGCACAAGAACAGCAAGCAATCTGCCAGATACTGAGGGAGGCGGAGATTCTCCTGGAGGAGTGGACACAGGAGCGGAGAGGTTAGAGGCCCTGGCCAGGAGAAGCATGAAGCCCCAAGCTCCACAAGACGGGCTTCCTAGTGTCCCGGGTAATGCCTTGGGACCTGCTCGTGTTCTGGGCAAGGGGTAAGGCAGCCAGACGGGGGGACAACACCTGACCCTGTGCTGTCTGGAGTTATCACTGGAGGCCCAGAGGGAAAACCTACATGAACCGTCTTGAGAGTTCCTTGAATTCAGCTTTGCACACAAAACTCCTGTCCCACACCTAGGCTTTGGAGATCCCACACTGAGTGACCGGGCCACAAAGGCATGCCCACACAGGTGACACCTACGCTGCAGGGCCAGCCAGAAAGGCCTTTGGAAACCCCCTCTCATGGACAGCTGGCACACAGAGGCCTCATGAAACTCCATTTGCTCAGAGTCATTGATTACAAACAATGGGCAATACTGGGGTTCAATGTATGACTTCATCTGGAGTTTCACTTTAAGTGAATAGCACACTGCATGTGTTTTCTTTTCATGGTGAATAAGAGCTATGCACAGGTTGACTGGGAGGAGGAACTGACAGCTATTTTTTTTTTTTTGAGACGGAGTTTCGCTCTTGTTACCCAGGCTGGAGTGCAATGACGCGATCTCGGCTCACCGCAACCTCCGCCTCCTGGGTTCAGGCAATTCTCCTGCCTCAGCCTGCTGAGTAGCTGGGATTACAGGCACGCACCACCATGCCCAGCTAATTTTTTGTATTTTTAGTAGAGACGGGGTTTCACCATGTTGACCAGGATGGTCTCAGTCTCTTGACCTCGTGACCCATCTGCCTTGGCCTCCCAAAGTGCTGGGATTACAGGCTTGAGCCACCGCGCCCGGCCCAACAGCTATTTTTAAAACTGCTTTTTAGTCATTCTTTCAACGCTTCTCATGGCTGTATGCAAGGAGCAGGTTCTGGCTGGAGTGCTGAGCCCTGATGTGCCATGCCTCAGTTTCCTGCTCTGCACAATAAGAGGAAGTGGCCATGTTCTCCCCTAGAGCCTCTCCAGCTCTACCCCACTGGCATGTGTGCCCTCCGTTTGCCAGATCACCTAGTTCGAGGAGATGTAGGGAATTCTCTTGTAGATGTACTGCGTGAAGTATTGAGCTAGGCTGAGCATGGGATGCAGAACTCTGAATTCCAGAGAGTCAGTCTGGAAGCCTCTGAGACCCCAATGCCATTGGCCTCGGAGGGATGGAAGACTGTGGCCTGTGAAAAAGAAAGAGGGAGAGAGAAAAAAAATAAAGGAGAGAAGAAGCAATCTCCAGATGATACAGGTGCAAGAATGTCCAGCACCCCTTATTCTGGTATAGAACACCTATGATACTGGATAATTACTCAAAAATACCTTTTAAATAAACAGTTGGTTTGGAAGAAAGGTAAGAAGAATCCTCAGAGGCCAGAATGGAAAGCAGGTGGGAGAAGGCAAGGCTGGAGCTTGCATTCGCCCTGGGCCCTCTGTGGCCCCTTTGGCCGGGAGCCGGCTCTTCACGGGTCATGGGCCTACAACGTGGAAGACAGACACGTTTTGGGTAGGAAGGGTGAGATTCTATCTGAAGCCCACACAAAACCTGTATCTCCAAAGGGCATCTCCTTTTGTGGGTGAAGTGAGAGCTCCACCCCCTCTCACTCCCACACAGAGGGGAAATTATGTGGTGATGCCTGTGTTGACTTTGACTCCAGTGAGTAGAAAAAAAGAAAAGTCCTCTCCAGAACTTTCAGCCACAAACCTGTGTTCATGAGTATTGGGGCTGAATTTCACACGGCCTGTGTGGCCAAAAAGCCAATCAAACACAGAGGTCCCAGTTTGGAGGGACCCCAGAACACTGGCTGAAGTAAAGGTATTTCTCTCCTTGGGAGAAATGTGCTTTACAGCTGGGCCTCAAGGAATAGCACCATTTCCTCCAGGGCTTGCTTAGCTCCTTCCCTAGGCAACAGAGGCTGAGGCAAAGCCTGCATGGTGATGCCATGTTGGAATGTGCCATTCAACGGGAACAAAGTGAAGGAAGAAGGGAAGTGACGCAGGGAAAGAGGGAAAGCAAACAGTAGTGCATTCCTGAGCAGGCCATAGCCACAGCAGGAAATGCATCTGATTATGTAGGCTCTCTGCAAAAGGCCCATGGAATGGTCCAGTGCAGTAACTTACACTTGTAATTCCAGCATTTTGGGAAGCTGAGATGGGAGGATCAATTGACATCAGGAGTTTGAGACCAGCTGGGACAATATAGTGAGACCCCATTGCCACAAAAAATTTAAAAATTAGCCAGGTGTGGTGGTACACACCTGTAGTGCCAGTTACTCAGGAGGCTGAGGTGGGAGGATCACTTGAGCCCAGGAGTTTACAGCTCCAGTTAGCCATGATCATACCACTGTACTCCAGCCTGGGTGACACAGTGAGGCCCCGTCTCTAGGAACCTCAAAAAGCCCATGGCACCACTGCTTCTTGGAACTGTTGGCTGTGGAAACACAGGACAACAATTTATTCCTCAGCGCTTTCTCTTCTCTTTGTCTCTTTGGTCAACATTTTCCTTTTGGAGCATTAAGTTCCCTGAACTTTTGGGTTGTGTCACCTGGGCTCTCTAGTTAGCCACTGGGAAAATCAGAGCTTCCATGGGTCCAGGCAGATCCGGCCTAGAAACCAGAGCTATTGTGTCTCCCAGTGCTGTGGGAAGAGTGGAGGCTGTGCCAAAGCCTAGCCGTCACCCTGGGGAAACGAGACAAGGGAGGTGGAGGCCTAGACTTGACAATCCTGGAGACTGCATGAGCTACCTGGGAATGCTGTGTCTGTAAGCAAAACAAGCAGGCAAGGTTCAGAAGACAAGCAGGGATGGGCGGTCCTGGGGAGGCACTATACCTATGTCTAGTATGGATGTTGGCAAAAACAGATAACCCACTTAGGAAAATTCAGGGATAATTTCTTTATAAAGAGCTATTTATAAAGATATGGGCAAGTCAAGGAACCACAAGGACCAGTGCAGTAACTCAAGCCTCCCAGTAGTAACTGTACTGCTACTGTGCCATTGGTGGTAGCAAAACAATCTGTTGCCACCTTTAGGCTTAAAACGACAAAAGGGCACTGCTGGGTGCTGCTGTCAGGACCCAACTGTAACCACTGGCAGTGACCCTGCTGCCCCCAGTAGCGGAGCTGCTATGCATTTACAAGTACCTGAGGAACAAACAGGCTACCCTGACTGCCCCTGCCACTTGCAGGTGAAATGTGCAGTCCCCAGCCACCTGACTATGGCTGCTGCCACTGAGAGCAACCCTGTCCATCCTAGTAGCAGGGCCACAGCTCAGCCACTGCTGTCCCATTCTGAGCATTTTGCCAGGGATCTGGAATCACCTCATCCAGCACCTGCAAATACCACCAGGGGCCTGAGAACCCACTGGCCTGGCCCAGCACCATACCCCTGCAGTGTCCAAGCATGTTGTCTGGGGGTCTGGGAATTACCCAGTGCCATCCACCATCATTGGCACCTGAGCATGCATCCTGGAAAGCAGAGGGCACGCCAACCCAACTTGCTATCATGACCACAGCTGATACCACCCCATGTGCCACCTGTTGGCCTGAGCACTTTCCTGCACAACCCATCTCAGCCACCATCAACACCAGTGCAAATTGTTTTGGGAGCCTAAGGGTTTTCCTACCACTGCACTGCAATGGCCTATACTATGCCTGCTGCCAAGGAGCCTGAAGACTTGTCAGTCTGCCACTGCAGCTACTGGCACCTAAGAAAGCCACCTGGAGCCCAAGAATCAGCCCACCTGGACCCGATAAAAACAGTGCTGGTATATGACACCCTGGGGCCCAAGGATAGCCACACTCAGCCTGCTACTGCCCCCAGTAGGGCCTGACGGACTGGCCCACCTGTTTTCCCCAACTCCAAGAAAACTTCACCACAGCCTCCACTAACAACTGCACCCTATATCACTGAGGAAATCACAGTCATCACGATGATGTTTACAGCTGAAGAAATCATATGGTGACTACACTACTGCACGCACTCAGAATCACAGCCAAAGTACCTTACCCAACCAACACAACAGGGACATTTTGAGGAAAAAGTCCTCCCTATGAAAGGAAATTGAAAAGGTTGGAAAAAGTGACTTCTACATCACATGCACAGATAACAATGTAAGGGCACAAGGAACATGAAAAAGCAAGGAAAAAAGACACCTCCAAAGGAACACAATACTTTGGCAACACATTCCAATAAAAAAGAAATTTATGAAATCCCAGAAAACAGTTCAAAATGATAATATCAAAGAAGCTCAGTGAGATGCAAGAGAACACAGAAAAACAATACAAAGAAGGCAGAAACACAATTCAAGATATGAATGAGAAATTTCACAAAAAGATAGATATCATAAAAAAAGAACCAGATGTAAATTCTGAAACTAAAGAATTCATTGAGTGAAATATACATTCAAAAGATTCAACAGTACACTTGATCAGGCAGAAGAAAGAATTTAACCTAGCTAGAGCAATTAGACAAGAGAAAAAAATTAAGGGAATTTAGATTGGAAAGGAAGAAGTCAAGTTATCCTTGTTTGCAGAAGATATGATCTTATATTTGGAAAAACCTAAAGACTCCACCAAAAAACACTATTAGAACTGATAAACAAATTCAGTAAACTTGCAGGATAGAAAATCAACATACAAAAATCAGCAGCATTTCTATATGTCAACAGTGAACAACCTGAGAAAGAAATTTTTAAAAATCCCACTTAAAATAGTCACAAATAAAATTAAATACCTGGGAATTAATTCAGCCAAAGAAGTGACAAGTCTCTACAATAAAAACTATAAAGCACTGATGAAATAAATTGAAGAGAACACCAAAAAATGGAAAGATATTCCATGTTCATGAAGTAGAAGAATCAATATCATTAAAATGTCCACACTACCCCAAACAATCTACATATTCAATGCAATCCCTATCAAAATACCAATAAAATTCATCACATAACTAGAAAAGAGAATCCTAACATTTACATGGAACCACAAAAGACCCAGAAAAGCCAAAGATATCCTGAGCAAAAAGAACATAACTGGAGGAATCATATTATCTGACTTCAAATATACTCCAGAGCAATGATAACCAAAACAGCATAGTAGTGGAATAAACACAGACACATAGACGAATAGAACAGTATAGAGAACCCAGAAACAAATCCACACACCTACAGTGAACTTGTTTTTGACAAAGGTGCCAAGAAAAGACACTGGGGAAAAGACAGTCTCTTCAATAAATGGTACTGGGAAAACTGGATAAACGTGGAGAAGAATAAAACTAGACCCCTGTCTCTCACCATACACAAAAATCAATTCAAAATGGATTAAAGACTAAGTCTAATACCTTAAACTATGAAACTACTGTAAGAAAACATTGGGCCAGGCATGTTGGCTCACGTCTGTAATCCAGAATTTTGGGAGGCTGAGCCGGGCAGATCACCTGAGGTTGGGAGTTTGAGATCAGCCTGACCAACATGGAGAAATCCCATCTCTACTAAAAATACAAAATTAGCTGGACGTGGTGGCACATGCCTGTAATCCCAGCTACTTGGGAGGCTGAGGCAGGAGAATTGCTTGAACCTGGGAGGTGGAAGTTATGGTGAGCCAAGATCGCACCACTGCACTCCAGTCTGGGCAACAAGAGCAAATTCAAAAGAAAGGAAGAAAGGAAAGAAGGAAGGAAAAAAGGAAGGAAGGAAGGAAGGGAGGGAGGGAGGGGGGAGGGGAGGGGAGGGGAGGGGAGGGAGGAAGTGGGGAGGAAGGGAGTAAAAAGAAAAGATTGGAGAAACTCTCCAGGACATTGGCCTGGGCAAAAAAATTTCTTGAGTAATACCACCCCATAAGCATAGACAAAGTAAAAATGGGCAATGATCAAAAAACCACATCAAGTTAAAAAGCTTCTGCTCAGCAAAGGAAACAGTCAACAAAGTGAAGACACAATCTACAAAATGGGAGAAAATACTTGCAAAGTACCCATCTGACAAGAGATTAATAAGAAAAATGTATAAGGAACTCAAATGACTCTATGAGAAAAAATTTGATAATCCAATTTTAAATGGGCAAAAGATTTGAATATACATTTCTCAAAATAAGACATACAAATGGTAAACAGATATCTGAAAAGGCACTCAACATCACTGATTATCAGAGAAATCTAAATCAAAACTACAATGAGATGTCATCTTACCACAGTTGAAATGGCCTTTATCCAAAAGACAGGTAACAATAAGTGCTGAAGAGGATGTGAGGAAAAGGAAACCCTTGTACACTCTTGGTGGGAATGTAAATTAGTTGAACCACTATGGAGAACAGTTGGGAGAGTCCTCAAACAACTGAAAACAGAGCTGCCAAATGATCCAGTAATCCCACTGCTGGGCACATACCCAAAAGAAAGAAAATCAGTATACAGAAGAGATATCTGCACTTCCATATTGTGGCACTGTTCACAATAGCCAAGATTTGGAAACAACCTAAGTGTCCATCGACAGGTGAATGTGATACATATACACAATGGAGTACTATTCAGCCATAAAAAGAATGAGATCCTATCATTTACAGAAACATGGATGGAACTGGAGGTCATTATGTTAAGTGAAATAAGCCAGGCACAGAAAGACAAACATCACCTATTCTCACTTATTTGTGTAGTCTAAAAATCAAGACAATTGAATTCATGGAGATAAAGAGTAGGAGGATGGTTACCAGAGGCTGGGAAAGGTGTTGGGGGTGGAAGGAGGTGGGGATGTTTAATGGGTACACATAAAAAAAAAAAAATAGAAAGAATGAATACCTGGTATTTGATAGTACAACAGAGCGATTATAGTCAAAATTA